ATTTCGTTAAATTACATGAATGTATAACCATTTTAATTTTCTTTTCGGCTGCTGCTCGGAATCGTCTGGGATCTGGTTTGGGCCCTGTTTTGGGCCCGGTTTGGGCCGGGACTCCTTCGCTGCGACGGCGGGATGCGATCTCGCCGCGCTTGTAGTCGATGCCTTTTGAATGATGACCCTACAAATCACGTTTCGCAATGGCTCTGGTTCCTGCTCCGATCATCAAGATGCTGGGCCGCCGATAGTCGCACCAGGAGGCATTCCCATAATGACGATGATGATGGGGAAGTGCCAGCGGCGACGGCTCCCAGGAAAATGGCTTTTCGAAGGTGTTGCCACCGGGCTTCTTCATGTTCAGCTGGGTATTTTCTATTTTCCCTCAGCGGTACAGTGCGCGCCGCGTTCGGTAGTCACTCTTTGGGCAATGCACTATTAGTTAATGGTTTTCCAGTTGATTGACGTAGCCAATATTCCTTGTGTCATGTGGGTTTCCCCCATTCCTCAGTTATTCTCCTTTTTTTTATCGACTGTGTTTGTTGTATAACAAATCCCATTTCGTGACTGTCAAAGGCCCAACCACTTTTGTTTACTTAGGTTCCCAGAGACCTTCGGCTGAATGCCATAACGATTCTGCGACTACTCCCACCGAGAATTTCGCACTGCACAAATCATGTTCATTACCCAACCACCGCTGCTCTGTCAGTTAATTTCAATTTCGAACATGATACGCCCCAAAAAGGATAACTCGTGTGACAAAAAACAATTAAGTCCCGGGGTGACACGAAACGTGAATGTCCCGTTGCATAGAAAACAGGGAGTGGGTCGCAGTCACAGTCACAGTCAACAGTGCAAAGCCCAAGTAATGCCAGCTCTCAGTTCCCATACTACCAAATCCATACTACCTGCACATGCACGGTGAAAGCGTGAAAACGAAATGAAAAATCACGGACTGAAGAGGAGGTGGAGAGAGGGAGGGGGGCGGAGGGTCGGGCGCCGAGGCATGCACAATTGGGCGTTGTAATTGAATTAGTCACACCCACAGATTGCACACATGAATGACTTGCCGAAGACAAAAAGACACGGGAGTCCTGGGGGAGGGACGCAGATCGCAGGGCGACGGCCAAGGCACGAAAAAACTGCGATTTATTTATTAAACTAGGTTACCAGGCAACGGCCCACGAGGAGCGGGGAGGGGCGGTGAGGGGCGGGGCAGGGATGAATGGATTTTCCCAAGGCTGGTCTGGTAAACGATTTATGAAATGCATTTAAGCAGCGCTTAGGACAGATTACACAAAAGGATCTGCCACTCAATGTAGGGCTCAGAAATTCACACAAGAGTGAAAATGTCGATTTAATATGGGTCTCTTCTCCTGAATTTATTTAGTCCTTTATGCGGAATTACTTATTCACTGAATAGTTAAGAAATATTTAAAGGTTTCAAAATTGAGACAGTCATTCTTACTCCCTCGATGCAAGTTCGCATATTTTTCATGTTTATAATTGAGGTTTTAATATAAGAGAAAATGTAAATATATAATCGATAAGCTGAATGAATACAATTTTTTATTGTAACACCACCTTTTTCAAAAGTCTTAGTTATGCTGACAAGATAAAATAAAAGTTTTGAATTTTATTAACAATGTTAAAGTCGAATTTTAACAACATTTTCGTAAATTAAGCAATACAGGTGCTAGAAAATCCCATTACATTTTGCTAAGTTCAATGTATAAAACTTATATTAAATCAACTTAGAAATCTTTAAAACCTAATTTTATTTGTATTTATCTGCCAAAGGGTTGATTAAGTTTTATTTTATGTTATCTTAAGTCTTGCTCTTAAAGTAAAATTAAGTAAAATTGTCGTTATATTAAGATATATAAAAAAATTTAAAAAAAAAGTAATTTTATAAGGCTCTGTAACATTTAATTTGTACATTAAGTTTTTAAATGGACAAATCATATTTTTAAATGGATAATTTCCGTAGAGTACTCTCTAAGTACACCATATTTAGTTGGCTGGGTTCAAGGAGGTCCTGGGAGTTCTTAAGATGCAGCTACTGAACTCCTACTGACTCACACACATCAGCAACGAAAGAGTCCTCCGATTTGGCCGCCTGGGAACTCTGACCCGGTGTGTCTGTGTGTGGCTGACTTTCACTGTGCGTGTGTGTGGGTGAGTGGATAATGGGGTGAGTGGGTGGTTAGTGTGTCTCAAGGACCGCTGTGGCACCGCTCAAGTATTTGCCGACATGTGCAAACACTGCGAGGCCAATTTGCATTATAATCGGGAGCAGTGCTAACCGAGTGCTGACTTGACCTTGTCACACACACACACTCGCACAGTCACACAGATACACACTCACTCACTCACACAAATTACAGCCCGTTTTTCTACTACACTTTCTCGAGCACTTTTTTCAGCGCCGCCCGAAAGTATGCTTTGAGATTGTGCAGCTCGTAATTAAACATGTAACCAAAGCGAAAGGGCGACCCGGCACTACATTAAGGTTATTTATCGTCGAGTGTCGAGTGCCCTACAGCTGCTGCTACTTGCTACTTGCTACTATGCCACTCTGCTATTTAAAATGATAAAATGCATGTTGACCTCAACGGAGCAGCCGAGAGTGAGGCGCACTCAACGCGTCCTGGCACACAGGATCTGTAATAAAATCCAAAAATGTGTTGCCACAAAAATGTTATTTCCTAAATAAACCCGGGGATGGGGCACCCAGGTGGCACAGGTGCTCCAGTTCCACGTGCAAGCCCAGCTCATCGCATCTCAGCTCGTCGGATAGCGACAGTCTGCTCTGCTCTGCTCTCATCTCGGGCTGAAGTTACTCATGCGGTTTTTACTGGTAATTAAATTAAATTTATTTAAGTTGAGTTAGCTTACGCTGGCTGGGCTGCTCCTCGGTGGATTGCCCCCTGCCAGCCTGGCTTGGGTTACGGTGGTTTCTGGCAACAATGTTGCGGTGGGGCAACCACAGCAGCCCGGCAGTGCCACTCGCTCTCAGGTGTCCATCCACTCCTAAAGCCGCTCCCTGTTCTTCCGTTGCATTTAAAGTGACACCTTTGTTGCTTAAAGTGTGTAATCGGAGCTGATAAAAGCTTTTGCCATTTGGAAGTACCGAATGCCTGGGGCCATAAAACGAAATCTTTACTGTATTGTGTTTTAGCTTAAAAAGCTCATTGGAAGGGATCATCGTTTTAGAATTTTTGAGTTTCCCAAAGTATCTCAAAGTTCTCCAGATAATATCAAGTATTGACTAAAAAGTACAAGCCCCATTTATTTACCTGCTAGCCTTGCAATTTTGTTGGCCACTTAAAAGCAGCTTACAACCCGAAAAGCTGGTAAGGTCAAGAGTCAGTCGGAAAACGGGAGTAGAATGGAAAAGAAAAGGGATAGAAAAGCAATTGAAAATCTGGCTCTCTTGCGGTTGTTATATTCACATTATTTTTTTTATTGCACAATTCACGCTGTTTGCCATTTCTGGGCCCAGTTGTTTGGCTGCCAACTTTATTTATAGGTCATTCGTTGTGAAACTAGGTGGTGGGGGAATTCACAGCGCCACAATAACAATGGCTTATGCCCAAGTATGCAAGTATTGTGCACAATATATTATTTTATTTTTCACAATTTTCCAATTGCAGCAGCGGTGCCTATTTTGTATTTGTTCCATTGCTGGAAATGCTTTGAAAGTATTTACAAACGTTTTCGTTGCAGTGCTAGAGACACGAATCACCCCTCACAAAAATCCAGGAAATGCCGAGGGAAGAGCTTAAATTTAAGTATTGAATATGTTATACACTTTGGCAACTTTGTTTTCTTTTAAGTTAAATTGTAAGAACTTATAACTAAAATAATGCCGGCTTCCCTCTTGCATTCCATACTTTAATTACTAATTAAGCGCTATTTTATGAATGTTGCAAACTTTGTGCTTTTCTAAAGCTGTGAGGTATTGGACCTGAAGACCATCTGGGGTAAAAGAATAACAATACAAAATTATATTTTTATTGTTATATCCCTACCTATATTAAGATAACCCTGGAGATAACGATTGTCAAGTTGGAAATACCCCAAAAGAAGTTAGTCTCGTTGGCCCAACATCAGACCAAAGAGTGTTGGCACTGCCAAAAGCATTTCAATTTCAATTTTTATGCTGAGGCCTTGCCACCGTGTTGCTGCTGTTGTGCTGCAGTTGCTGCTGTTGTGTTGCTGCTGTGATGTTGCTGCTGTGATGTTGCTGTTGCTGGCAGGCAGCGACCGAAATCGTGCCGTTAATCGCTTTAAATATGCGACAGGTTGTTGCCAGGTCGGTGGCGTCTCCGCGGCAGCTCGCGCTCGTGTTTTCAGCTGGATTTGCAGCCTGTGAGTGAAGGATTTCATAATCCCCTGCATTTGTCTCACCGATTATGCAATTTGACCAGCCAGCAGTTGGGCTGGTACTCGCTGCACACAATTCAGGAAGTCATTTGCCAAATGTATTAAAGCCTTTGTACAAATAAATGTTTATTTAAATTAGACGCCCGACAAATAAACACAAAAGACCTGGAATAGCGAACAGAAAATGCCGAAATACGAAAGCACAGAAATAAACGGTAGCGTTTTGTGTTTGATTTTCACTTTCTATTTGCGGTCGGTTTACCATTCGCATTTGATTTGTTGTCACCCATTGTTATTGCTTCTATTATTTTATGCAAATTTGGATCCCTGGTCACTGCCTGCTATTTGTTTAATAAAAACTGGAGTCAGAAGGAATGTTGGATTTTAGACAGACATGGCTAATCTGACTCAACCTGAATTGATTAAAAATAAGGTCCCCAACATTTTACAATGATTTTGAGATTTAGCATACAGGCCGTTTAAGTCCCTTTACACAATCAATGAAGTGATATTGTTCTATACATGGATAAATGGCCAATCTGACAAAAGATCTTTTTAAAATTTAATAATATAAAATCCTACAAAAAAAAAAACCGTGGATGAATCATAAGTGTTGATTATAATTAACAAAATATTATTTATTATTGTTGTATTTTTTGCAGTTCACGCAAATAGGCATAGGGGTAGTAGGACCAAATAAAGACCAATACTGTAAAGTACAAATTTGTTATTGGCATTAAAATGTTGCTTAAAAATATTTTTTAAATTGACTAACATAAAAAGAATATACTGTACGTGGCCCTCAGAATATCGACAGCGTATCTTGAATGTCCATGATAAAATATCATTAATCGTACTTTAATAATAGTCAGAGCAATACCACACACTAGTCCAACTATTACCCAGATCAGCAGAAGACGGGGGATTTTCTAAAAAAAAAGGTTGGAACTTGAGGTGGTAAATTGATATTTTTTAATCCAAAATTCTTACCTTTAATGAGCCGACTATAAGAAGAATTGCGGCAATGAGAAGCAAGGACCAGACTACCATTGATGCTATTAGCCAATTATTATATTCTTTCGTGACTAGGATGGAGGTGTGTGTAATACGTTATTTTTGAATGGTTTTTCCCAATAGAACTTTCATATTTACCTAATTTGTAGCAATGATATGACATCTCCAAAAATCCTAATGTTATCGCCGTAATTCCGAGTAGGACACAACAGGGTCTTTGGTACCTTTCCAAGCACATTTCAAAAGTTTTCAAATTAATAAATCTATTTGCCAAGATGACTGGCTAAAAATTAAATCTTTTATTTTTCCAAGCAACTTTAGTATTTCAAGTTTCGAGTTTAAACTGTTTTGCTTCTGGTACTTTTACGCAAAGGCCATACAGGTAAATCTTAATTATTTTTAGATACATTATGTTTAAGAAATTGAAATGGCTTTTGTTAATACTACAGATTTCTTTGACATTTAATGTCAAGTCACTTTGGTTTGCATTTGAAGAAAGCGTAAGAATTCTTGATTTTAACAATTATTTGTCTACCAGTATGCAACCTAGACAATTTTATCCTAATTCACATTATTTATATATTTCCCAATAAGAGTGCGGTTATTTGTAATAAAATTTCAATCCTATGTTTGTTTCATATAGATCTCTTTTGTTAACTACTTTTTTTAGTGATTTTTATATTAATACACCCGGCTTGTATCCTATTTAAAAAAAAAAGTTTTTAATCGGAACTAGGTTTGGTAGTTATTAAGTTTCGAAAAAGAAAATAAATGCGTCGATTATTAAAAATTCTCCGAAAATAGAGACATCTTTATTTGATAATAAGCCAGGCGTATAAACGCAGTAATAGGTGCTTTTCTAGTCTTTTAACGAATAGAAAAAATCATATGATTGACATTTTATGTGAAGTTTTTTTTTAATTTTATCAGCCGCAAAAACTACTACATTAAATCTATTCCAAAAGTATGGACCACGATGATATTCCGCCTAAGACACCGGATTCCACTGGGTTTTACCAAAGGACGAAGCGCCAGCGAATTACCGCTAATGAATTAAAATCACCATTTTACATGAGACCCACTACCTTCGGCGGTAGATTAGCGTACGATCGTGCGAGTTATAAGGAGCTGGTAACCGCTTTCAAATCCGGAGTTGGCCCATTCAGACCATTTTTGGCATTGGAAAAGCCTGGCCCTGATTCTAGGGAAAAGGAACAAATTAATAAGGAGAAATTCAATTTTTTAGAACCATCTCAAATCAATTCCTTTATTACTGCAAATGACATAAGATCTCCATTTTACCAGGGACCCACTACCATCGGCGGTAAATTGTACTCTAATCGTGCGATTTATAACGCAAACCCATTTCAGGCAGTGGAACATCCTGGCCCCATTGACAATAAGACATTTCTCTCAATTGAGTCAAGGGCCAAATATTTGCTGGAACAGGAACAAATTAATAAGAAGAATGGATTTTCTCGAGGACAATCACCAGCAGCAGGATTTTCCACAGATCCGCTACTCAGTAAGGAAAACCTTTAGTTTTCCGGAGCCCATCCCGCTGGAACATCTTAATCTGAAGCGCAATTTTACCTTTACCCCACCAACTCCTTTGGATTAAAAACCTCATTTACATATGAATGTAAAGACAAAATTAATGTTTTATAAATATGAAAATATATTTTTTTTTTCTTTTAGTTTATGAACATTTTATGGCTTCGTTAATTTAGTTCGATTTGATCTTCCAGCTGGCGCAAATATCCATAGGGGTAGTAAGCAAAAAGAAAGAACAACACTGAAAGTAAGAAGTTCCATTAGAATCCTGATGAAATAAAATATTGGCTTGACTAACATATGAAGAAAATTATAAAGAAACCGCTTAGAAGATGATACCCCATTTCGGAATTGCGAAAAAAACAAAAAAATAATACCATCTTCATGACAACCAGAGAAACTCCGCACACCATTGACCCTAATATCCACATCAGCAACAGATGTTGGTTTTCCTAAAGAAAAAATAAAGAAGGTAAGATATGAATTTCATTTCTTTGCGAATACTTGCCGTTATTGCGCCTACAATCAAAATAAAAACCCCAATTATAATCAATATCCATGCTACCGCTATTGTCACTATCCAGAAATTTACAACTTTCAATATTGCTATAAATATTACAGAGGTTTTCGAAAATCGTTAATTATCTAGTATGCTGCACTCAGGTAAAAAAAATTAATTTTTAAATTATTTCTTAAATTTACCTAGTTGGTAATATTTGTATGCTAATTCCGAAAGAGCTACAATAATCGCGATCACTGCGACAAGAAAGCAACAGTACTTCCGGTTCCGACGACAGCACATTTTAATAATTTGTTAACAATTTTCCATATGAATAAATCTGGCTAATACAAAAAGAATAAGATACCAGCCAGGATTACTCAATGCATTTCTGTTCACTTAGTTTCAAATGATTGGCAATATTAGTTAATCGCCGACTAAAATAGGAACCTTCTGGGTTTGGTACTGGTGTACTATTATTATCATCCAAAAATATATTAATACTGGCAATTAATTCCAAGTCACTTTGGTTTCAATTGTAAGCAAGCGTTTGATTATATAAAATACAGTCCAAATAATTTAATTTATACTACCACGAAGTACCCAAAAAGGGAACCATTCTTGTCCAGTGAATGTCCAATTTTAATCAAAGCCATTCGTAATTGAATCAACAGCTGGTGACTGCATTTCGGGGGTCAGCCAGGATTCCCTTTATCCTGCCAGGATATCCTTCTGATCCCGATCCCAATCCCAATTCCAATCCCAATGAGTGTGTGCATTGGAATGATATTTTTACGAGTGGAGGGCACGAAAATGCCAGCATTTTAATTAAATTTTTCAAGCAATTCAAGCAAAGTTGCCAAAGGTTGACAGTGGGCAAGCGGGGGCGTGGCAGTTGCACTTTTTTGTTGACTGCACACGGCGGGAAGCGGCAACAAATGTGCAGAAAGTTTTCCCAAAGCTCTGAAGCTCCAGGGCAATTGGCATTGGCAGGGGGTGCGGGGTGAGGGGTTGGAGGGCAGGCCATTAATTAACTAGAAATGCCATTTTCCACAATTATACGTTCGCCGACTATATAGAAATGTAAAAACTAATTACATTGCAATTTGCCAGCGTAATAGCCCGGGCCAGGCTCGTGTCGCTCTGTCTCCCTCCGTTTGGCAAACTGCATGCAAAGCAAATTATGTGTGGGCGGAGAAAGGGGTGTGGGCGGTATGAGGTGAAAGGTGAAAGGGTGGGCGGATGGCGGACTAACAAGTTTCCGCGCTACTTCCTTGGAAATTCAAAATCAATGCAGAAAACGAAGGACACATCCTGCTGGCTCGGCTCGGAAGTTTGTCCAGGCCCTGTTCCACACCAACTCGCAGTCCTCAGCAAGGACTCAGGTGTCCCCTTTGAGCATGTGTGTGTGCTGGGCAGGGCGGGGGGCGTGGCACATTATTATATGTTGCATGCAAGCCAATTGCAGGCCCAGTAAACTGGGAACATTGGCTTGAAATTTATCGAACCGCCGATCTAATATTTAACTGCTTATAGGAAGAGCCTTTTTAAAAATTTTTAGTGATGCTACAAAAATATAAATATAAAGAAATTGTTTTCATTTTAAGGTTGATCAATAGTTTACGATGACTTGTAGAAAGGTGGCCCACAAGTGGTCTTTTAAAAGGGTGACCCATAATTTTAACTACAGAGTCCATTGCTTTAAGATTTGTGGTTTGACTTTCTAATGATCTTCTTTGAAATTTCTTATTTTAACATTGTTAAATTTTAGGTTTTAGGTTTATTTTTAGGTTTCCGACGGCTTGTAAAACGCGTCCCACAATTGGACTTTTAGAATCCCATAACTATACCAATTTAAGTCGATTTCAAAGTTATGTCAGGTCTTAAGACCTTTGGTTTGATTATCTTATAATCTGCAGTTAAATTTGTTATTTTAACGTTGATCAAAATCACATATTTTGCGCTTGCTTCCGCTATTGTCCCAACTCAGTATGTATTTTTTAAATAATTTAAAATAATAATAGTTAGTTAATAGTTAATTAGGAAGAACAATAAATATATTTTTAGTGCCGGAAAAGAGAAGGAAATAATTTTAATTAAAAATGGTCTCATTAGCTACCTACTGATCTGAAACACCTTATCCCTTTGTTTCATTATCAAGGTAAGGAAATTAGAGCCCGACTTTGATTGACTTGGCCGATTAATGGGCAATATAATTTGCATGTGCTGTGCACCATTGTGCTTAGCGGTTACTTAAGCCGGGTTAAATTTGTCTTTAGTGCACCCGCAATACACACACAAAGCTTTTGTTGATACATTAGTTGATGATATGTAGTTGTTGTTAGGACAACGGACAATTTGATTGATGTGGGATTTGCGGCAGTTGCCGGCACAAATGGAGGAGGTCGTCCTAATCTGCCCATGGACTCGAGTTACAATTGGCTCAAGCGCCAATGTTGTCGGTCAAGTGCAATCAAAGTGCAATTTAATAATCACAAGTCCCGTCAATGTTATGTTTAAATTTTTAAAGATTTTATTGCCCTTTTAAATTACTTGATTTTACGAAAAAAGAGATATATAAGATATAGAGCAATTCGAGAAACAGGGTTTAATAAAAGAAAAATTGTATTTACAAACTTTAGTTAAAAAGGCTTTTTTTATTCGTTAAACTTTAAAAGATTGCTTAAGCACCCGCTCTAAACATGCTAAAAAGGTTTCATATATTTGCAACATTATAAAGGAATTTACAAAAAATGGCTTGAAAGAATTCTAAAGTAAAAATCTTACTTTAATGATTTTCTATTCATTAAATTTACCTAGATTCAATTTCAAATACACAGCTTTTTAAATGCGAACTTATTTTTCTGCAACATTATAAGTAAATCGAGGAACATCATGTTAAAGAGAAAAATCTCATGTTAATGGTGGCTTAATAATCTTTAAAGCTTAGAAGATGGCCTAAACAATTGAATTTAAATTGGTTTAAGCTTCAACTATACCTATTAAAATGGCTCATACTTATGAAAATGCCTCATAAATAGGAAGCCATCTCATATTTCCTAATGGACCCTCATTACTTGAAGCCGATCGAATGACGTCGTAATAGGGGGGAGTTCAATACCAGTTAACCTTTCCCAAATTCCGTTCGCCAAACGAGGTGCATTTGAGCCATCAAAACCCCGACTGTCCGACTGACGGCAGCCCGAGAAGAAGTTATGACTACAATTTGCGCTAAACCAAAGCAAACCAAACAATTTGTGGTCGCCTCTAATGCACTCACATATAACCCATGCCCAGTTTGAGACCCGGCTCCTGGCCAATAATTACGCAGAGGAGCGGAGGATGGGACGTAAATTATGTGTGCAAGTTGTGCGTAAAGTTCGGGCAATGCTTAAACTTTAGCGCCGTGCTCAAGGACAGGGAAAAGGGATTGGGTTTGGAATTGGGAACGGGAACGGGAAAGGGGAACGGATGGCCGCTGACAAAGTGGCTGCACTTCCACATTCACTTCCCCCTGTAATGTCATAAAGTTTATCAGAGGAAGCCGCTCCTCGGCAGCCAAACAGCCAGCCAACCAGCAAGTCAGCCGTTTTTGGACCCCATGTGCACTGAGCAGCTCCATTGTGCTCCATTGAGCTCTGCCGGCTCCTTTCTATACTTTATGGCATATTATTGGCATAAACATGGCGACGTGCAGTTGGTGGATGCGGCTCAGAAGACCTCCTTCGACTGGCTTGCAAGGTGCAAGCTGAAAATTGTGTGATTTATGCAATGTGTCAGACAAAGCGTTCAATTAGCGACTTAAATTGCGAGGCAAGAAGGCCTAGACAACAAAAATGCAGTCGGAGATTTCCACTTCGACTCGGAACTCTGACCCAGTTCTCCTTCCCCGGGTTGACAGTCGAATTATATAAAATATGGCCGAGGAACCCTTATGATGCCCACATAAATATATTTCATGTGCGTGTGCGTAGGGCCTGCCGAAACATTTAGCACAATTTGCGCCACATTGGTCCCCATAACAATGCCTCATCTTCGGCAGTCCAATCCGCATCGAGATGGACAGAAGGACAGACAGACAGACGGACCATTATTGATGATACCGAATGCCTCTAAATTATCAATTGACCATAAATTTGCTCATTACGTTCGCTTCTCCGGTTTGGGGTATTTTCATTCAAGTTTCCATCCTCGACTCCTTGAGCGCGTCTAAGTTTTTTTGCGAGTCTGGGCCAAACGCTTAGCGTTTAACCTGAAACGACTTGGACTCGACTCAAACTCGGACGTCTCATCATCATTTGCCATTGTTGGATTGGATTGGATGGCTGCGACTTGGACTTGGACTCCAGCCGAGTGGCTGGGCTTTTAAATAACTTTTTTATAAGCTCTCTGGCCCGGCGAGTTATTGGCATTTGGTCTGAGATGCGATGCGGTTATGGCCGCCCGGCAAATTGTTGTTTACAGCTGTCGGGTGTTGGTATTTCATGGCCCTGTTCCTCGCTGCACCGCTATAATTGCACTTTATGCTCTGGGAGCGCACCTCGAAAGTGGGCCGTCCATGCTTGGCAGCTAAGTTAAGAGCCGATTAGACCTGGCCGGGAAGTTAGAGCCCGCTTTGGCAAATAACTCCCGCCTAATTTGGCCCTGCTCAGCATCGGGCTAAATCATCAAATGCCCGTGATTATGACGTCACAGGGATGATACCTGCGGAATTTATTATTGTTTGTCCTTGTTATGGATACTAATAACAGTACGGACATAGTTCTATATCGGCTTATTGCTATAAACACTGGTGGCATATGAAACAATGTATTCTTTTGGAATTGCAAACAGCGTTGTATTATTTTCATTTAAATTCTGGATAAATTATTTTAACACAAGCCTTAGGGTCATTATTTTAATTGAAGAATGTACTGAAATATTTTAATACCACTGTAATGCAATAAAAACTTTTTTAAACAAGGGAATAATCCATTCTTTTACAATCGTTAGCATCTTAATAAATTGTTGTCAACGAGGAAATTAAATATTTATATTTAGTTTCTATGTAATATTTGAACACAAAAATACAAACAAAAATGAAATTCTATGAAATTTCAAGGTTTACTTAGAAAATACATTTCATTCAACAAAAACAAATCAAAGCAGCCCGGGAAATCAATGATTAAATAAACATCTGAACAATCTCAGATCAGTAGAACTCTTTCAGTAGAACTCTGTAATCAAAAATGCAGGTTGCAGAAGTTGATGTAAGTTTGGAAAATTACTGGTTACTCAACTGAGTATCTTTTTTTAATTAATTGACCAACAAACCCGCAGCCTATTCGCACCAAGAGGTATGTGGAGGAGACTTTTCGCCTTTTGCAGGCCAAACCCGGCGTTGAGGACATCCTGATCATGAATCATTCGGGTGTGCCGGTCAAAACATCGATGGATCGACAGGAAAGTCTTCAGTACGCCTGTCTATACGACAACCTAAAGGAAAAGTGCCAGGCATTCCTAACCAAAATGGAGCCAGCTCAAACTTTGACCTTTTTGAGGGTTCGCACCAAATACCACGAGGTGCTCATTACACCGGATGCCAAGATCACCGTTTTGGTGGTCCAAAATGCCAAGGATTCTTTCATTAACATAAAAGGATAGAAAAATTTCGCATTTAAAAATATTTTTCCGATACGAACACATTTTTGATTGTGGGCACATATCTATTTTAACCACGTTAATTCAAATGTAACCCAAATAAAGAATTCAGTTGAACTTCGACTATTAACCGTCGGTAGATTTCCAACTGCAAACCGTTCTAGAGCATCTTAAATTAAACTTGATGTTTACTTTTGCCAAAATTTTATGGAGATAAGTCAAAAAATGTTCCTTGCCTCTGTCGAAGATAAATGATCCACTAGTTTATCATCACTGTTTAGATTTTCCTATAATATATTTTAGGCTGTTTTTGTTTATTCAAGCATTATAATTCTTACCCATGCAATTATTACTTAAAATCGAAAACGTGTAAGTGCATTAGCATTAAATGGAAAAATTACTTATCAAGGCTTTATTGAGAGATCTTTGTCTTTGAAATTTAACTAAATATAAGATTTTGCAGGCCACATCTTTTAAATTTGTAGAATTGAATAAGCAACGTGCAACCGCAAAAAAAATCTAAAATCTGCTAGCAACACATAAAATTTGAAAATGCTTTTGTACATTATTTTTATAATGCATATTAAATGAGGCATCTTTGGTGATATTTCTTTATGCCAATCCATGGCGACCCAACAAGTGGTTTTCTGTCTGCCAAACATCCGCATCCGCAGTGCTCCACGTTTTGGCCTGCGAGATTAACATATCACGTCGCCACAACATTTCACAAGCTCCTCCGCGATCCCCTGATCCTCGGCGCCGCACCCTCTAACTGCCTCACACCCCCCACTCTCCCACTCCCACCACTTGGAGCCTCTTGCTCTTGAGTGGCAGCTGCAAATCAGCGCGAAACCTTTTCCCCTTTTCGCAAGGGGGCGCTTGTAATATTTAACACCGTCTGAATTTTAATGCGCTTTCGACTGCCGCTCACAGCTGACAATGGTGTGCTCCTAATGGCCAACTAATATGCGCAGAATCACTTGGCAGCCGAGTCGCGAACTCGAGTCGCACTTCCAGTTGGGCTTGGGCTTTGGCTTGGCTGCCCACAGATCGTGCAACGTTGGGGCACACCACAAGACCATGTTGCAACACCTTCTTTCGGAGGAGCTCCGATCACGTCACGAGTTTGAGGAAACTGCGGAAAGAGGAGAGAAGGTGTCAATAACTTTCAAATGCCTGCCCAGGATATGCATTATATTATTATAATGCTGCAGTTCGCTCCATTCGTCTCCGGCAAATTTATGCATTTTTGAAGTTTTAATAATGTAGCTCGTTAGCCACGGTTTGTTAAACTTTGTTTTCATTTTCACTTGGCTTCACATCAAGGGACCCGTCGAGGGGTCGAATGGTATGGTCGGTGGAAGTCAGGAAGGGGGAGGGAGAGGGGGGATGTTGGGGCAGCTGCACCCGCTCCACATCGAGGCCCCAAACATCCAGCCATGCATCCATGTAGCCACACCGTAAACACAATCCCAATATCCCCCATCACGTGTGCCTGTCTTCACTCCACTCAGACTGCACTTTTTGCTTTCAATATGCGAGTCGTGAATTTGCCCCGGGTCCTTTTCTGGTTTTCAGCTGTATCCAGCGCCGTTGCTGTTGTTACTGTCAGCTATTTGTTGCCGTTGGTCATATTGCAGTTGGAGTCGGACCATGGCGCCTTGCCAACAAACCAGCCAACCAGCCAAACCAACCAAATCAACCAAACCAACAAAACCCAGCCAGCCAGTCAGCCCGACACCCGTTTGATAAACGAACAAAAGTGAAAACACATTTTGCATTCGGCAGCTCCTGCTTTGCATAACTCTCAAGGATGTTCGAGGGCTTGCATTCGAATTAGCATTGCATCAGTATCAGAGGAATGTTGGGGGCTGGTGAGGGTATTAATATCATATATACACAATAAAAATCGTATTTTAGGTGTTGATTATATCGGCAAATTCATCAGCTTGGGCTGCTTTACTTGATCTAAGTAGGGAAAATTGGGAAAACTTATTGAGTGGACCATTAAAATGATTAATATTGCAATTTCTTAAAAACGAGATTTTGATTTGCTTTTTAGCGGAGTTGTTAGAGGAAAAGTTAGACTACCTTACCTACATTTATAAAATCAACATATTCATTAAAAATGACGAATTCGTACTTCTCTTCCAGTAGCTCTGCTAAAAAAATCTAATTGATTGAAAAAAAATATTTAAAAGCCAAGTGCTTCCCCTTAATAACATTTTTCTGAGATTAATTTTTTCCAAATGCTGACATACTGATATATGGTTAAAAATTAAAGGTTCAATTATTAAAAAAAAAATGGTACAATCTGAAGCACTTGTTCACAAATAAAAAGTAAATACTAAAAATAGAATTCGCATTTATTTTATAAATAGCCACCTTAAGCAAGCGAATGAAACCATTTTTTCTATGTGTACAAAGTATAATTTTGAGATTATTTCTGCTTTTAAATCTGCATTTCAGGGCAGGGAAATGCTTCACCTGGTTACCCTAACTTGCAGATTGGTGTAAATCCCTCTCAATTTTCCTATTTCGTAACCTGAGTTCCCCCAGCACATATTTGATTGAGTAATCCAATAAAGTGCCATTCCATACGCCACAAAGGGAGAAGCATGCAGACGCAGTTAGCCAAATCACAGCCGCCAGCATCGGTTATATATCTGGTCATTAGACGAAATGGACAAGTCGTGAGTTGGTGTTAAGTGCCAGCCAACTAAAATTAGTTTTCATTTGTTTGCCAGAATTATGGATGGAATTTGTTAGGTGAAACCATTTAATGCACAATTTTAAGTGACGCATAAAGATTGGAATGTAAGCATTTATAAAATGAGTTACTTTGGAATTCAATGTCAACAAAAAATTCTGATAACTTTAAATTCTTGTAAAATGTGCGGTAATTGTAAAGCCCGTATTGCTTGGATTGTAGCCGGTATTGTGGGCGTAATCCTTTTAATCGGAGTCCTGCGATATGGTATCTCATGGTTGAAATTTTTTAGTATTTTAATTCCTATTTTTATTATTTGTTTAGTTTTTTACATCAGCATATTTGATATAATTCTTCTTTTCCCATTGGTAATCGTTATTGGATTCGCTTACACAATAAAATTAATGTCCGATATGGTAAACTATTTAATATCTGTGGTTCATCCAATGCTAAGTTGATTTTTTCTAGGAATGTTTACATTTAGCGCTGCTGGCTATTTTTCCAATTCCTATTTGCTGTATATTCATGTTTGTGCAGAGGATAGAGAGGATTATAGAGCACTGGAGCCAATTGAAAATATTTTGGAAAATCGGTAACATTTTGCATCTGACGTATTTAATAGGTACGAAATGCATTGTTTTTCATAAACCATTTACTAATTGGATCAGTCTTTCCTTGCGTCTGGCTACTATTTATTTTCCACTTTTATTGTGAGTCCTACATTCCACAAACTCTTATTATTTCCTGAAGTGAAAGGCCATTGAATTCCCCAAAGTGATTTCCGATTTTCGGCTGGTAATTGTGGAAAACATGTGCAGATTGTCCGGGCCAACAATTATGGTGGAAAACTGTTGATAAAGTTGCTATTCATAAACGTGATTAGCTGAAGATTTGATGCCGAACTTCTAATGAATGAAAATCATTGGAAAGTTTGCCGCTGGCAAGATTCGCTAATAAGACACATTGTCTAGCCAAAGGATCTGGTCGAACCGAAAGGTGAGTTCCCAAAATATAAATGGCAGGAGGCGGGGTCCTGCTGCTCCTTCGCGACTCTTGTTTGCCGTTGTTATTGTTGTCGTAAGTTTGGCAACTTGCTCGCTTCCTTGGGCTAACCGAAGCACATTACAACTAATACACTCAGACGATGTACCCAAAAGTTTGCTTGCGTCGCACAAAGAGCATAATTACCAACAACATGGAAAAATCGGGAAAACTCGAAGGAAAGGGGAAAGCGCCAACTTTTCCACAAAATTATTTGCGGTCGCAAAGGTAGAGGGGGAGGGGGCAGAGGAGGGCATGGCAAAACTTTGACATAAAGAAAAGTTTGCGCAAACCGACTTAAAGAAAATTATAATTACACGCACAGTCAGCCAAATAGTCCAAGTTTTGGGGCTCTGGCTTTCCTTCGGGTTCGTACTCGGCTTTGGTTTCGGTTTCGGAAAATTCTGTAATTGCCGTTAGTTTTCGAAGTTTTCAATTCGCAATTTGTCCACCAGGACAACTGGCAGACAAACAAGAACAGCAAATTATGGTAAAATATGCAAGAAATAATAAAAAAAAAGCAGAGAACTCAAATTCTCGGCAATCATGAAAATTGGAGAGTATAATTAGACCACCTGGCCGCCTCCTCAAAGTAAACCCACACAAAACCCGACAAAAAACCCGGAAAAACTGAGCTGCCCAGATTGAATTACGTGCGGTGCTCATCGACGTGCTTTTGGCTTTTCTCTAGTTTTTGGGCCATTTTCAGTTTTCTGCCGAACTTTATAATTGGCCAAGGCAATTAAAATGTACTTGAAGAAGGGGTCAAATGTGGGTAAATTAATTTGTTCATTCGTGATTTATGATCCACATGACTTTCTTGTACTTTTTGGCTAGCTAAAAAATAAGAATAATATTATTTAAGCTTTGTTTATGCATACTGTCACTTTTTTTAAATATTTTTTGTAAATTATAATTTTGAAAATTTGTTACTTTCCACCGCATTTTCTCCCTTGGCTTCTTCTACCCTTTCTCAAAAGTTATTCATGCCAAAGTGGAGTGTGTTTTTTACTTTTTACACTCAAACCGCCCCACAAATTCCCCGCCTTCTACTCTTATTCCCATTTTAATTTGCACATGGACCCGAGGTTATTCCTGCTGCGACCCTTGGTCACTCTGTCCGTCCGCCGGGTGACGGGAGTTTCATTTATTTAATGCATGCACAATTTCCTAGACACTTTAACGGCGACTTTTGATTTCCATTCCCAAATCACTGGGCGGGGGCTTAATGTGGCGGCAGGCTTTGCACAAAGCCAGCTGGCCGGCTTTATAGAGCGACAAAGGAAATAAATATAGACGGTCCCGCCAGCAGACGAAAATAAAAACAGTCTAACAAAGGGATTTTCGCGCTTTTCTTTCGAAAAACTGAGCCCAGGGGATGGTTTGGCTTTACGGGTAAGATTGCACTTTTCCGGCTGCTAGGTTTCATTAAAGGTTCTTTCAAGTTTAAAACAATCCAACTGAAAAAAGATTAAAATTCTTTCAGAGCACTCACATTTTACAGTAATTTACAATCTCTAACATTTGATCGATTTTTAATAGCATTGTGTTGATTGACCTCAATAATTGTATTAATTAATTGAATAAAAAAAAAAATCTTGATTATACAACTAATTAAAGTCTGAGATTTAGGTGTTGGTGGAAAATGAATGATGTGAAACCTTTGGCAGTATTATATAATTATAAATCTTATTATATATCTAATTATATAATATCTAAAATCAGATCAAAAGTTAGTTCGGGTAAAGAAATAAATATGGTTAAGCCTACTTACAAGGTAAATGTTAAAAGGCGTCTGAAAGCAATTTTTATGAAATTCAACTAAGAAATCATCTTCTGCTTGAGTTTGCTGTTTGATTTGAAAACAAAGCTGTCAGTTCAAAACAAAACTGTTACAAGTAAAATGACACAAATGTTCTTTAAAAATATTAATATTTGTCATATTTCCAAAAACATTTTTTATCGTAGTACTATTTTATTTTGTATAGTACATATGCTTAGCCATAAATATTCATAGGTTGAAATTCCACATTGATAAATTTGTGTTAATCGAGTTTGATGACACAAAACTGTACAAAAGTGAAGTATAATTGTTATAAGGGGCTTTCAAATTGTATTAACTTTTCATGTAAATCAGTCTGTGTGTTTTTCGAAAAATAATTTAAAAGTAAAGTAATTTTTGTCTGTTGATTGATAAAACAAACTGTCTGTTGCATTGGATGTGAGTTTCTGGTTGGAGGCCACACATCCCCTTCAGTTTTCATGGAGGCACAGCCTCGGTCTGGAAGCGAAATCAATGACAGAAATATGAAATGAAAATATAATTGGTAATTTATTGTGTCTACAGATCGTTGCTGCAAAATGCGAGCAAGCCAAGTAAAATAATAAATGCACATATTCGTTTGTGCTTGCCTGGATATATGCATACCCAGTGCAGTTGTGTTTACAGCCGCCTCCTGCGAGTCCCTCTGAAAAGTGGTGCGGGTGGTGCGTCATGGGCCTGCAACTGCTCCACTTTGTGCCGCGAAATCCACTCGAGTGCGCACCAATAAAAATAATAAAAATTGTGCCATAATAAAAAGCGCAGCGCACAAAGAGCAAAAAACACCCGTGCCGCCCAAATAAATCACACAACTTTGCAGACAAGGGATCCCCCAAGAGTCGGTTATTTCGCTGCACAGGGGAAAATCGTATTGAATCTGATTTTAAAGGAACAATATTTAATTGTGAAATTTGCTCGTTTGACTGCTTGTTTTGAGGAGTATTCGGAATACTTTTCATATTATCAGGTTTCATAATTAATGTTTGAAATTGATCTTGGCTTAATATCATAATTCCTCTTAGTGTAGCTCTGCAGCAGAGGCGCCAGTTCTGAATAAGAGGGAATAAAATGAATTGGACGGGCTTTAGCATTGGACCTTTACAGTTGAGTTAACATTTAAAACCAATAAAAAAACCATGAAGGGGCAGAATTTATTAGCATAATTATATAACCTAAATGGTTTCAATTAAGCTAGACTAACGTAAAATTAGTATTAAAGGAAATAAGGAGTAAAGTAAGGTAAATAAGGAAAATTATTCCAGTCAGTTTCTGGATCGCTAGAATGCATATCATAAAAGGAAAAACAAATAATAATAAAGTCATAATGGGAAAATAAATATATGCTTAATAATAAACCTCAAATGGTTTCATTCACGCTAGGCTTCCATAAAATAAGTAAGTTTAATAAACAATATCATGCAAGTCAGTTTCTGGATTACTTAAATCATACCCTCATGGCATAAAAAGATAAATCCAATAATTTATGCAACCCGGATCAAAATCATTAATTATTCAGCCAGCACTCTGTTATGCAAGAGTCATGATCAAACAACAGTCTGCGTTGTCTCACCATTTGTTTGGCATAGTTTGGCATAGCTCAGCGCAGTTTTGCAGCCACGATAACGACCTCAACAATGGCCAGCAGACCGCGCTTTGATTTCTATAAATCAACAGTCGCTACGCAAACTGTCAAGGCAATGGGGAAAACTTTCCATTTTCCGGCGCTGGCGGCGGCTGCTTTTGTTCGAAAACGCAGCGCACTTGGCGATAAATCAAAGCCCAGATCGCCAGGCAGATCAAACAGCGATCCGCAAGCCATGAACATCGAAACCCAAGGAATTCAAACAATTTCGCGGGGAAGCCGGGCAGCAAACAATATTGTCAAGCCTGGCGACCTGTTCGCCTGACTAACGAACTGCGCTCTGTTCGTTCATTAACGCCATTAAACCAGTTTTGACATTTTAATTAAGAATGTGCAACATTGCGTATGCGCATTCTGAGCTGCCGACCAAGGTCAGGATCATAGATCATAGGCGAGCGCTTATCGCCGTCTACAACAGAAACAGCAGCAACATCAGCAACAGCAACATCTGCAGCAGCAGCAACATCAACCCGCTAACAGCAGCATCGCGTCGGCTTATCGGGCATATCGCTGGCCAGCATCTGCATTTGGCCATGTCCTGCGGCGAGCAGTGCGACAAGGCCAAGAAATTTGCATTTACCAGACTGTCGCCCACTTAATTACGCAGCAACGCAACAGTTGCAGTTGCAGTCGCTGCTGCAGTTGCTTTTGCTGTTGCAGTGGCTGCTGCAGTCGCCGGCGTTGCAACAGCATGTTGCACACTAACAAGCTTGCCTCGAAGCAGAACTCTTCGGCTGGAACCCAGCAAAGCCAAGGGGCACCCTACAAAAGAACACGAAAGATTATAGAGGTTGCTGGAAGAACTATTTATTTATAAATTAAATATTTTAAATACAATTTCCACCTTTGATTATAAGCAAAGTTCAGAATACGATTTTATCTTTATAGAGCTAATGGAAATAAAATGGTAGCTTTAAGCATGATTTAGCAAAAGAATAGATATGGTTTTCAAAATTATAAGTTTTTACAACACGCGATTTTTAAAAATATTATATTGAATTAAATTTATATGTTTTTATACTCAATGTTGATTTTAATTGTAAGCTTGCAATATTTTAAGAAAAATCTAAATAAAAATTTCATTATAATGTGCTTACAATAAAAACATTGCAACCGTTTTCTCTTTTTTATGGAAAGCTTAATGTGGGTCCTTAACTCAAAGAATGTATTTAAATTTAGAATCTTTCTTTGGCTTACAATGAATATCAGAAGTATTTTCAAGTATTCAAGTAGTTTATTAAAATACTTTAAAAATTAAAGTAAATATAAGGTATTACTCTTTTTTATCAAACGAAAAGAAAACATTAAACAATATAATATAATTCGTTTGACGAATTTGTTGGGTGCACAGGAATCGCCGACATTGTGTATCTAGAAATATTTCGCAACAAATTATTCAACACTTTGCATGCACACCAAATGGCTGCGAGGATGGAGGCGACTCGGCGATGAACATGGACAACATGAGGCGACGACGACGACCCTCTGCCCCCGACTCTCATGCTTGATGGCCACTCCGGAATCCGGATCGGATCGGCTTGGATCGGCTTGGATCGCCCAGCTCCCAGTGCCCATCTCCCAACCCATTCCCTTTGGCCCTGTCATCGTCTTGTCTCCGCCGCGCACTGCTGTTTGTCACTTCCTTCGGCTGCGGCTTGTTAAGTGCTGTTGGAATTTGCCATATTGCCATCGGATGACAGGGAAATGGGGCTGGAAGTATCTGCAAGTCGGTAGCCGGCCGGGGCAAACGTAAATCATGCCAATTTAAATGAGTGCAACCTGCGTTTTGACACTTGTCATTGTCATGGACCCCAAATGTGGCCTCCGTTTGATTGCCACTCCGTGATCCGCAGACTGCATGACGTCGTCCACATCGCCTGCAGTTTCAGCACCATGCCAGATCTGCACAGAAAAATATTTCTTAATTAGAAAAGTTTGTTTTGAATATTAATCTTACGAAAGCGTGTCCTTGAAGCCACAAAGTGGCTGATAAATTCAAGACGTTGTTGTAAATAAATGCAAAATACAGCATTTTAAATAATTCTTTTTGAAAGACATAATATTAAATAAATAATTGTTAGACTAACGTTTTTCAATAAATAAATATTAGATACTTTCTCAATATAACTTCTGAATTTAAAATTCAGAAAGTTGTAAAATTAATGCATAAAAAGTATATAATGGCAAAATACAGAAGATTAATAGTTAATTTTCAGACCAAAAATTCATGCTTTGGTATTTGATTTTTAATAGAGCTTTGATAAACAAAAACTGAAACTCCTTATAAAATATTGCTGCTAAAATATTACAATCAAAATAGCATAAGTCTGCTAAATGTGTATTTATTAAGAGGTGGCTAAAAGTAAACTGATTTTTCTTAGTGCACGAGTAAGTCCCCATTATTGTCACCGGAAATGTTGCACTTGTCTTCGGACTGGCGGCTGCATTAATCAGCTTGCATTTATGGCCTGCTGATTGAGTAATGCCCGGGTCCCCACTTCACAGACACCCACGATCTCAGCAATAACCAAGGAGATCTGAGTCCAAGTCATTAAAATGTTATCGGTTATTTATCTGTTACCCGGGAGTGGTTTGCACAGCCCAGACTCAGGGTCTTAAGTTGGCTAATCTCCCTTACGCAACTTTGTTGAGGACATTTGCATCTATGTATGTAAACGGCTTAACTCGGAGACAAGGTAAGGTCTTAGTGGATTTTAAGGGAGTGCATATAGGAAAAGAAAAATAAAGCTCCGAAATATAACATAAAAGCCTAGGCATAACGAATAATAATTGCATTTGTGCCAATTTAATCATCAACCATTCGATAATTTCAATCATTCATGGCAATCTCTAAGTTCAATGCAAATCATGTGGTTATTACTCTAGTTATCCACTCAAGAAATCCCCGAGGAGAATAATGGCTATCCAATTGCGACTCGAGTGGATTTCGCAGTTCATCTGATTGGTGGGCTGCTGAATGCTAAGTTGACGCTTTGATCTTGTCTTGAGCGTAAATCTGGTGATGCGCTTTTGAGATTAAATGCCATTTGTGCGGCGATGGAGCTGGAGATGTCGCAGATCCCGCTGCACTATACACTGGGCAAATTAAGTAGGGAACGGGATGCAGTCCCGAACAACGACAACAACACGGGCACCTGTTCATTAAACGAGGGGGAAATTATAGTGCGCCGAGTGCAGTAAACAAATGTAATCGACATCCTGTGTAGGCCACAAAGGATGCCGCCTGCAATCGATGAGTGGTGGAAGAGGAGGGGGGTTGCAGGAGGATGGAGGATGGGAAAGGGCGCCTTCGTGGCTAACAAAAGGAAAAGACAACGCACACACAAGCGCCGCTGAAATGAACTGGAATGCAAAGACAAACAGGAAAAGCGAACCGCGGTCGAGAACTCAGCACAGCGCAGCATAGCACACAAAACAAATAATAAACACAAGCATTTTTGATTTAGCATGAAATTTAAATGACCCGCCGCACAAACACACAAATACAAAAATACAGAAATATAGGGGAGGCAGATGGAGGAGCTGCAGCTCAAGACTTCACTTTGCGTTTTATTGTCAGGGCGCGCAAATATTGTCAAAAGACTTTCGAGCAGTTTCATTTCCATTCCCCTCTTTTGAACACTGAGAAAAAATGCATTGGGGAACATAAAATTCTGCATGTCCCAATATCAAAATTATGATTAAGGAGCAACCTTTTTTAAATGAGAATAATAACTTGACTAAGTTATGATTAAATGCTTTAATGAAGAGGTAAAATTTCATTTTAAAGTGTTATTCCTAAAAATAAGTGTCGATGTGCATAAGTCCTATTTTTCTAATAAAATAACCTACATAGTAAAATAAAATATTATAGGTTAAAGGGTTCAAGAAAACCTATATTTCGATTATACAATTTTTTTATTTTTTCTACCCATAGTTTTTCTCTTAAAACCTTAGTAAAAATTCCTATTGCACAGTTTTTCTTCGTCAACCCTTTAAACTTTTTATTTTAAAGATTTCAATTCCTTTATATTCTGAATTTATTTTCCCTATATTTCTGCCTGTTTAAGACATGATTTTCTTTCAGCGCATTTTGCCAGACATTACCATTTGCATCTCTCGTTGCAGCGACGGAAGCGCCAGTGAAGAGTAAAAGATGCCGACAGAAATAAAAGGAACGATGGGCCCAGGGTCTGGTCTTTGGTCCCTGGGTCGTTCCCTGGTCCCTGGTCCCCTATCCCTATCCCAATACCTATTCCAGTCCCAAGTCCCTTCAGCCTGGTCCTGTTTTGTTTGTCCCGGCGCTTCGAGTGTCCCCTAGACGGCGCAGAGAGCACTTGTTTGGATTTATATTTCGGTTTGCTTAGGTCCGAGAGGAGCCGGCTAAAGTGCCAGGCAATCAAAAACAAATTATGAGTGCTACAATTTGCCCGGGGAATGCGGATCGTAATGGGATCGGAATGGGAGTGGGTATATGTATATGTATATCCCCTTATCGCCGGCTTATCAATGTTTATGGGGGCAGCTAATGCACTTGGCGTGCAGTTGCCTTTGGCGTTGGCATTGAACTTTCGCCGGAACGAAAGACGGGGAACGAGAAACGGAGAACGGGCCTAAAACAATGGCCCAATCGGGCACACTCCACTGACCCACTTGGCCGGGGAAGAGGCGGCTTAATCACGGCTGCAAATCCTATATCAATAATTGACTTGAAAGCAAACAATTTATGATGACCTAAGCCCGAACAAAGAGCGCAAAAGGGTGCGGTAATCAAAGGAATTGGCAAGGAGAGAGGGCGAGTCGATTGGGAATGGGATTGGGATTGGGCCAAGCGGATAAGGCCAACTCAGCACCATGGCCCAAAAGCGTTGCGATGACGGGGAAGATGATGATGCCAATGCCGATGCCGATGCCGAGCCGATAATATAAACGATGAACGATAGAGCACGTCGACCCACACAAACTAATGTGAAAGTTGTGGGAGGAGAGGCGAATGCGATGACTGGCAAAGGATGGACCAAGTAGGAACTGTTGCTGCAGCGGATGACCTTTGGAGAACCCAACCCGTCATCCAGCTCCCAAGTGAAAACATCTCGAGAGCAATAAATGGCAGACGAAGAAGCGGAAAAATTGGAAATTCCAAATGGAAAAGCAAAGCAAATAAATATCTTATGGGCAAACATTATTGGCGGGGCTAAAACAAAGGCCAACTGGGTCAGCAAGTCAAGGACCAGTCAGTCAGTCAGTCAGTCAGTCATTCATTCCGTCAGTGTGTCAGTATGGCAGTCCCCAGGGAATTGGCCAAGCCCGATTCGGTTCGAAGAAATTGAGCTGAAATCATGGACAGTAGCAAATAAGTGCATGCATTTTTGAACTGCAAATCAACGTAATGATGACTCCGCAGTTGCCCCTTTTCTACTTCCATCGACTTACTGACAACGCAGCTTGAGACGTCTAACCAACTAGTGCTCGTGTTCCATCATCAGTTTGTAGTCGAGATGGAGCTGGTTTCCTTTTCAGCTGACTCACTTATGTAATAGCTAAATTGGCATCGACATATATATTATGGGGGGAGAAATGGCTGAGGATTTGGGTTTCGGGGCCAGGCCGGCTGCTAATATGATTACTCCTTAACCGGGAATATCTCGAGAATATCAGCAGGCATTGCAAAAATGCATGGTCATTACTATTAGCACAAGGCTCGAGGGGTTGTTAAGAAAGTGGAAAATAAGCCAAATCTAGCCAAGGGAAATTATACATCTACATTATTCCGGCTGGAGTGGATATTTTATTGAATCTCGTACTTATTTGTACCAATATAAGCTGGCCATTAATGCTTTTCACATTATTAGAAGTTCACATATTATATTATATTTAATAAAAAAGAAAAAATGATTATAAAATTCTAAAAAATGTGATAAATATATAAACAATTTCAAGATAACGTTATTTATTTACTTAGTAATTTATCTATAGATTAAAAGGAACTACTTGAAAACTACTTTTTGTACTACTTACTGTAAAGTTCAATTTAAATTTAAGGTTACTTTGAGTCAGCAAGAAGCAAAGCCAAGGACTTGAACTCATTACCCGATCCGACACGGCTTCCTCTGGCACTACCACCCGTGCAGTCTGGCCAATATCTTTTGTTATCCGAGTGCCAAACTGCTAAGTCCACATTAATTACGTGTATCTTCAAACAATATACGAGATGCGGTGCCAAGACACAGGCCCCGAGCCCCAAAGGGGCCAACATGGCTAATCAGGACGGTGGCTGCCTGGCATTGTTCACTGTACCGTTCGCCCGGTCGGTCGGTCTGACATCATTAAGACCACATATCCACGTATCTACGACGGATCCACTCGACGCAGTGCCAGTGGCCAACTAATAACCGCCGACGATGAGAATGCGAATGAGGGCGGGGAGTGGGTGCACCGGAAACAATTTGGTGGTCGATTGCTTGAGATTAGGAATATCATCAAATAACATGTTTTCGAATATAGATATGGCTGGGACTTATGGTCAAGTAAAATGTAATTTCTTAATATTTGTAACTCAAATTTTTATCCTTTAAAATTCGATAAACACACTTATTCTTTGTTGTCACAAGCACTTTAATTATAAGTTTTAACATTTTACGACAGAAAACCACTCTAAACAATAATAGCAACAATAAATTAAAATTTTTTATAATATTAATTTTATTAATTGGATTAAAATCAGGTCGGATACAGTTATTCTCTTGATTAAGAATACTATTTCTGTGACATTAATATAATCATCTGAAACGTATTATTTTAAATTAAATCTGCAAAAATATTATATTATTAAATCCTTTTAATATTCGCATTTCTAAAGTTCGGATCCTTTGGGATAGTAACTTAATTTTGTAATATTTCATAAGCCAGACTACATATAATTTTCTCCCCGTGTAACAGGTCGATGAGCCGTCGGACGCATAGCGCCACTTAAGCGAAGACGCTGTGCGTCAAGCAGCGCCGCAAAGACCGGCGGGAGAGCCAAAAGCCGACGGACATTGAGCCTGCGGTTGGAGAACGGAGGACATGGACGGCGGGCAGTGCTTTGGGACAGGGGACAGGGGGCTCTCGACTCTGGCTGCTTGTAAGCTGTCAAACTCGGAAATTTGCAATGACAGCAAACATTGCCAGAGCGCAGATAAGCGGCGAAATGAACGCTGCGCAAACTAAAAACTCATTGTCAGGCGCTGTCTGTTTGCCAGCCGACCAACCGACCGACGGACCGATCCAAACCGCTTTGGGGGTGCGTTGCTGCATAATAAACTGCTGGCCAGGAGGCGGCCATCCTGGAGGGGGACAGTACGGCGGGGAGGTGGGGTGGTCAGGGGGAACAATAGGGCGCCAGCCGATCTGCTGCTTTTCTGCGGCTTTGGCGGCAAGAGACTGCAAAGAAACAATAAACACACGAAAATAATGTAATGAGTTGCAGCGAATGGAGGACAAGTGCAGCTTGGGTCGCTCGATGGGGTTACTCTGGTTGCAGAATGCTTGAAAATGAGAATTAGTTGCTTAAATATAAAGTACTAATAAGAACTACTACTACAAAAACTACTAATATAATGTTTTTTTACAAGTTGTTAAATTAAATCATCAAAGACTTCGTATTCTAAAATCTGACAACTATTGATTTTTCAACAGTACCAATTACTTTGAAGAAATGCAAGTAGAAAACTGTTTTGCTTTTTATTTTAATTTTGAATTAAGAGCATTTTTATCAAATTAAAAGTATATATAGAGCTGGAAATTAAACCAGAAGTCATCTGCACTTTATCCTTGTATTGACTTTTGATGTATTGATTTTATTAATGTAAAAAAATATAAGGATTTGGTTTAGCCAGATTGATAATTGATAAGAAAAAGTTATAATAAGTGTATATATCTTACTTTTAAGCCCACTGTTCCCACTGAAACCCTAGCTTCTTCGCTTGAACTGAAGAGCATATTAAATTCATTTTTAAGCGAGTCCCGTGAGAAACTCGCCAAGTGGGCGCGTCTGAAGTGGGCAGTGGGATTTGGGGGGCGATGATGGGGATCCTTCCACAATTGATGCGCCATGCATTACTAGACAAAACTGGCTGCCGCAGAGGTAGAAGAAGAGTGACATCAAAAGGGTTTTTTCCCCTCATTCTCGACTGCCTCATCTTTTGTGGCCATCGGCACTGCCCGCATCTTTGCTTCTGATTAATTAAGAATTATTTTAATTAACGTAATAAATTTTGCGGCCAGCAGGCAGCCATATAACTCTTTCCCCTTTTTCCACTCTGGTTTTTTTTTTTGGGGCCTGCCGGCTGATTTCTGGTTGCATGTGCTTGTCGAACGCAGCCCGAAAATGTGCGAAAATTTATGTTGCTTGCGATTTTGGCGACGACTTGTTTGCAACTTGTTGGCCGTGTTCGATGCGCGATTCCATTCGGCTTTTGGCCAAGCCTCCGATGCAATGCGATGCGATGCGTGTTTGTCTGGCAAGTGGGTCAGAGTCCGAGTCGAAGTCAGAGCCACAGTCACCGTGAGGGGCAATGCCAAAGTCAAAGTCAGAGCCAAAGTCGCAGCCAAATTCAGAGGGAGAGTCGCAGAGTGCTGGCCCCTGCCGAATTTCAATTAAATGCACATAAATTAAAAATTAGTAATAACTCGGGAACGCGGAGCCCAAACAAAACGATGCCAAGCACGCAAAGCCATAAAAAGGAGGAGCACACTGAAAGAAAATGTGTTCTCAGAGTAGTTTGATCTTGCCAAAAGGATCTGTAAAAATGGAACTTTCGATTGGCCGGCGTGGAAAATCTAAAGGTACCACAGGATCTGGTAAGGTTTATAAAATTACTTCTTTCGAAAGCTAAGAAACCCTTTACTAAGTTTAAGACAATTCTGATGCTAATGTAAAAAATCATAGATTTGCTGGATAAGTAAAGTATTGCATTTTGAATTTTCATACATGACAATTTATGCCCAAAGATTTTATTATTCTGAATTTAGCTTAAGGCATAAAAATCCAATTTGCTGTTAAATTTGGATTAAAGAATAATTTATATAGCACGATTTGAAGAATTTGTATTTTATCAATACACTGAATTCTAAAGCAAACACGATTTTATAAGACATATGTTTTAAAATATCATACTTTGGGAGACTTAAAAACGGACATACAACATTAAGATATAAGAAAACAAAAAGTAAGGAATTTTTGGCACCCCAAGAAAAAAGTTCCACCTCGACTATAACTGTCGAATTTGAATTTAATTTACCTATCCAAAATTTGTTCCTGTGGAGCAGCAGCTGTCGCCCGCATAGTTTGCGATGCGTATACGGATGCGTTTATGGCCCAGGACGTGACCCGTTACCCGTTCCCGGCTCCCTGATCCCCCTTTCCTGTTCCCGATTCCCCTTGAAACCTGTCGTTAAAAATCTGTGTGCCAGCCAGGCATTCTCGGGCAGCCTATTAATTAGCCAAACTCAACACCTGCTGTGCGGCAGGCAAATTAACTTGACAGCTGGGAAGAGAGGCGGCCGAAACTGGGAAACTGGGATTCAAATTGGGCGAACTCCAACGGATCCGGATCCCTGGGACCGATTGGGCTGTGAATTGGAAAATAATTGTGCGACGACCATTAAATTACAATGCCTGGATGGATTGGGCCCACGTTCCGGCAATTAAGACATTATAAATAAACAAAGAGCAAATAGTTATTAACTAATAACTGGCACGCGGCAGTGGGCCGATGTGTTGACCATAAAACTTTTACCTTTTCCCGTTGATAGAGCGAGCCAATGAAATATTTATGGGCCAGCCACCTGTCAGGGGGTCAAGGGTCAAGGTTGTCACAGGGAACGAAAAAGCGATTTAATGAACTTGGCCCAGCTGAAAGTAATTGTTCAACTGTTTGATGGTTGAGGTAAACGACCAAATGGGAAACGAAAATAAATCAACTATATATAGAGTCTGGATTTCACATTTGTATGCTAGTTGTTTGGCAAAGCGATTAGTGATTATTAATTGTGGAATGGGTCAATCGGAAATCAGAATCATAGGGAGTCGACTACCTAAAAGGGTATATAATGTTATAGAATTAAGCGAAAAGCAATTGTCTGTACCCCCATCCCGACTTAATGAGAATGGTTCAGTGCACCCTACCGAGTTCCGCCGTTCAT